CCCCTTTCCTAAAAAAATTACCAAGCAGGCTGCTCGCGTCGCCCGCTCTGTCACAGAAGATTATGGAGACAGATTGCACAGAGCGAATGTGCCGGGCGAGATTAGCGCGGAATAGAGAAAGCAACTGGGCCAATGAATTCCTCGGAAGGGCCTTATCGTGCAATTACACGTTGACATGTTTAACAATCTTGCTGCCTCTTAATCCTGCGGTGCTGCTCTATCTACCCACAGCTACCACGCTGTATGCCGGCACACAGACCTAATGCACCGAAACGCAGCACAAATGTACTGAAAGTTATGAGAAATTGCTTTATTTTCAAACTTTGTCCAGCATTCACCGAATACTTTTTTTCCCCCCCATTTTCTATTTTTCATTTTTCAGATTTCTCCGTTGTTGGAATAGCATCCGCCCTGGAACTTTCTGACAAGAGGTGAGATATTAAAATTGTTCACTTAAAATCACAGTTTCACTTGAACAACTAATCGTGAAGCGACAAAAAGCTAATACATGTTCGGGCCACGTCCATCCAGAGTGGCGATAAAAACGCAATAAGTGTCTGTCTTGTTTGGAGTTACTTTTCCATCTCTCTGCCCAACACACAAACACACACACTCACCACCACCACGACACCCCCCACCCCCCCCCCGTCCCTCCTGCCTGGCGGTATATCGGGGCCTGTGTTGGAGTGATTGTGGAGCGCCACTGTAGGAATTTGGCAGCGGCCGTGGTTTGGAGAGCCGCCCCACGCTGAGCCCCATTCAGCGGCCAGCGCGCTGTGAGGTTGGGAAGTTTCAGTCAGCCGTACAACTCAATGGCCCCCACAAAGGCGATTACAAGCCCCAGCGCATTCCTGTAGGGACCTGGGAGCGGCGCAGGTGCGAGGGAGACCGGGGTAACCCATCAGAGGAGTGATAAAAACGGGACAGTGCTGGGACCACACAAAAACAGCCGCTCCACAGGAACCGGGGATTTTTTGGGGGGGAAGGAGGAGAAAGGAAAGAATAAGTTTGAAGAAGATGGAAGTTTGGGAGGGGGGTGGGGGGCAGCATACTGAGTGGCCTCACTGTCCATCACTGAATGAAAGGACGAGGAGACTCCTAATCAGCCAGAATTTTACTAAAGCCATGAGTCCAGAGTCCCCCATCACAAACCTGACCCTTAAAAATGTTCTCTGGCCTCTAAAAATCTCTAGAGAAAAACACAGAAATTTACTTTTTATTAATTAATTCAGTCATTTACATTTTATTGTGATCTAAATGTTTCTACACTGTCCATATGGAAAATACTCTTGACTCCTTGTGTTTAGACATTAAGTTTAAAAATCTCAGAAGAATTTTAAATAACCCAACATGTATAATATGAGTCTAATTGTAGAATAAAAACTCCTGGTGTCATTAAACCCTCCAAATTTCTCCTCTGTGGTTCGGCCATGCCGGAACAGAAACGTGCTCTAGCTGGAAAAGCTGCTGAAAATTCAATTGTATTTTATTGTCCTTACGTTTTCTGCAGAAAAATAAGAAAGCATATAAATTTAATCTCACATGGGAGTAAATCAATTTACTTAAATCAAACAAATTCATTTTTAAAGAACATATCACCGGCTGTTTTACACTTTTAGAATGTTATCACTATATATTAAACATATCAGCAAACTGTTTCCTGCCAACACAAAGTGTTTGGTACATCTAAATGAAATTTGTGAACATATTTCATTTACTTTCACTTCAATATTTGTTCATGGCAGCTTAAAAAAAAAAGATTTTCTTTACAACTGCTCAGTCTGCAGAAGATCCACATCACTTGACTGTTACAAAAATGATTCATATGAAAGTTTTTTTTGCTCGGACACCTCTGTGTTTAACAGTAATTAGAGATTGACTCATCAACATATTCATAGAAAGAACTGATCAAATATGTGTAATTTAAAAGGGGTCACTTGTGAAAAACCAGAAACTGATCACTGGACTGTGCAGTTCCCCACAGCTCTGTGGGGCTCACTCCCTGCTCAGCACCTGGCAGGCGACAGGCAAAGTCAGCAACTAGCTGGTGAACATAGTGGAGTATTTTGCAGCTAAAGACCCAGACATTTCCCTCAAGCAACAGACAACACTTTGCTAAAATATCTGCCAACTTTTTAAGGTGATGATGTGTCAGGGTTGTGTTTTCAGCTTGTCCCACTGCCCCCAAGTGGCCAAAACGTCTATTAATGTAGCTTTAAGTTTAGGCAACTGAAACGTCTTGGTTACGATCAGGTGAAGATCATGGGTAAAAGAAACCACTGCTGACAGCTTGTGGACAGCAGTCTCCTGTGTCAGAGTCAAACACTTTCTCTGGGTTTCAGTGTCAAAGTTGTGTACTTCATACGCCAAATCATCCACCCAGACCTCCTTCCTTTGACTTCTCCATGGTATAGGAAGGTGACAGTTCCTGGATTGGAAAACATATTGCCAGTCAGTGAAATCTAACAGTTAAATGTCTTAAGCAAAGTAAATTAGAAGTATATAAAGTTAATGGAGTAGCAGTACAGTTAGCACATGTAGCTCACCTAAAAGTTCAATTTTATTTTTTCCCATCTTTTTAGTATTTTCGTGTTGAGATGGCACATGGTACACGTGTGGGAGGAGAGGCACGAACAAGTGGGCGTTTCATTCAAATGAAGCAGCGCAAAGCAAGTTGTTGGTATTTTGGTGTAAATTGGGTATGAGGCCGCATCCAGACAAACACTTGCCGTGTGTTAGGACAATCCAAGGGGCTGCGTTGGTGGGGGAGTTTTTTCTTGCAATGACGAGACGGCGAAATATGATCTGTGGAGTCCAGCTGGAGGAACGAGCTTGCATGTGTGTGAGTGGCCAATACAGCGTCTTGCTGGATGACGTCACACTGCGTCGCAGCAACAGCCAAAGCAGGTTCAACTCTTTTGCCGTATGATGCAGCGACGTTTTGGACGACGACACCGCCGCCCCTGCACTGTCAATAGAAGTTACACAGCTTGAAATTTTTTTAGTTCTGTCAATAAGGGCAAACTATAATGGAAATGCACCACAAGTGCAGAAAAAACGCTGAAATACTTTGGATATACAGTCTGTATCCAGTAGATGCATTTACGGTAGCGTCACGTACGTTGTAAATGTGCATAGTAGAAATGCCAGTAAAGTAATCTGTACTGATCTTTTTCAATTGATTTAAGCTCTCCTGCTTTCTGAAGGCAGAAGGACATATCATTCATCATTTATAATAAATGATAAACCTACAGCCTCTAGTTTGACAAGTGTCATCATGCACAATGATCCACTGTGTTCGCCTTGATTAAATCTTGTGGAAACGACACCAGGCTGCCACAGAATAACCCCACTCACCTCTACACACATCAGACTGTTGGGTTGTAACTCAGTGTTCTGCCCGTTCACGCAGGAGATGATGATGGGCACATTAATCCTATGCGTCATGGCCTCCTTTAAAGCTTCTCTGGTGTTTCATGTTTTATTGTTATAAAATACGTTTTTATTTATATGATGTTGATACAGAATTATGACAGCAAAAGTATTGGATTGATGTCATATAACAAACAGCTTTTCTCCGGTTCTCATCGTGTTATTGAAGCCTACGACAGAGTCAGCTTCTGCGTATAACAATAATTCTGCAGATTTATTTTTATTTTTTTTAGATCACCATGTTGCAAAGTAGAACAGGCAACATAAGAGGCCTGATATAATTTTCCTCTGAAACAAACTCAGCTGTAGAAGCCATCTGCCTTTTGGCTACAGAATTGTTGTGCAATGCTCTCAGGTCTTGCAGCTCTACACTGTCCAAGTCTCTCCATTTGGTGTTCTGCCATGCCCCACTGTGATTGCCATGCCCTACCGTTTTAGTATCAGTGGTGTTAGTGTTGAGACCAGTAATGTGGCTGGCTAAGAGGTTAATGATTCATCACCATATTCTTCAATTCATATTCCACTTTACTAAGCCTTTTATATACAGTACTTCAGCTCAGCAGGTGTGCATTGAAAGCCAGGGTTTATTGCAACTTGACTTTTTCTTTTATAGCTCTGTCCATCAGCACTGTATTCACCAAAGTAATTACTGAGATTTCACAATGTGGCAACGTCACAGAAAATAGATGCAATAGGTCCAAGAAAGGCAGAAACACCAGCAGCCAGACAATCAGACAAGTTAGCCAAACTTATTTGGAGGAGAAAACAAAGCTGAAACAAGAGATTTCTACTCAAACTGTCCATTGCAACTTTGACATGCTATCGTTCTGCGGACTCGCAAATGTAGTGGTTGAGTGGGGCTAAAATGTTGGCTCGTTTACAACCTGTCTGACTGTTTGACCGGTTGTGTTTCTGGTGTTTTGAGATCTGAGAAATTACTTTGATGAGTACACTGTTATCACAACCAATATCACCACTGGGCAAAACTATGAAAATAAAACCCAAGTTGTAATAAACTTGCTATTTTCCTTTAAAATGAGAACTCTGATCCAGAGAATGAGGAATCAGTATGCCTGCAGCATTTCCCACCACAGTGTCATAATGAAGGTGCAATGGATCGCATGAGAATGAGCTGCACAAGTTAGAGACGCCAGTGTAGAGAAAACTCTAACACTCTGATGGAGACTACCCTGTTTGGCTGCCATGAATCTGCCACGAATAGGCACATATTGTAATATAACATGAGACCCAGCAGGAAGTTAATACATCTTGGATATGAGGATGTGGGACTTAAACTGTAAAATATATGCTGTAAATCCAGTGAATAATCACACAAACATGGATCATTTAGAGTTAAACCTCATTTTCTTAGTGTCTCCGTGTGCCTTCTTTCTTTTTTTTCTTTTTTTTAGATCAGACAAACACTTTGACAGCAGTGTCCCAAACATCTGAGGCAAACAGAACAGCAAGGAAGGGTCACATGATAAATTTAAGTATCTTCCACAGTCCTGTTTATGTTCTCAAAGGAAGGAGCTTTAGCCCAGGATTCACTGCTAGTTTTTCCTTTTTTTTTCTCTCTCTCTCTTTCGACATAAGTGGTTCCACAAAGAGTTTCTTTCATGGAGTCTGGCAGACAAACAAACTAAGGGTTGTTTGACAGCGCAGGTTGGACGCACCCAGGAGCAAAAGGTGGAATTTAGAATTAAAACGTTAATGAAAATGTGCAAAATGGCTTCCTGTTCTTCACTGAATATAAACAATAAAGCGGATCAGCAGAGTTCTTTCAGTTCCTTTTTTTTTTTTTTTTTCAACCAGTGAGAGCATTGATCATATTTAATCTTCTTTCGCAGACAAACCTAAATGTGTAACACACTTTAAAGCGTTTAGTTTGTAATAAAAAACTTTGCAGTCCAGCATGTTCTATGGCTCAGGGGTGAAAGTTGAGCTGGTATCGTTTGAAAGTAATGACACCTCCTGCGTACTATCACTTTCTTACTTTCTTTCTCTATTTCTTTCTTACTTTCATCTCTTCCACTTCAACACACTATAAATGACAGAAGTGTTATCAAGAACACCGCTGTAGAAGAATGATTCAGCCTCTTCTCTCTGTCTCTGTACTGGGTTTTTAGCCATGTTAGCAGCGTTGCTCTAGGGAAGGCAATGTCTGTCCATTAGTCGGTCCACTGCTTTGGTCCAGACTGAAATATCTCAAAAAATATTAGATGTATTACCATGAAGTTTTATACAGAAATTCATGGTCCCCAGAGTACCAACCCTAATGATGTTGACTTTTCCTCTAGCACCACCGGCAGGTCAAATATCTCTTTAATATAATAAAGATACACTGACACAAAATTTTGTACAGCCAATCACGGTTCTCAGGTGATGGCAATCCCCTGACTTTCCCTCTAGTTACACCATGAGTTTGACATTTGTGTTTTTTAATGAAATATCTCAAAAACTATCGGATGGTTTGCCATGAAATCTGGTACACAATACACGTTCACCTCCAAATAAATTGTTGAAAGATGTAGAGAGTTTAAAGATTCCTTAAGTTTATTATCCAGCACCATCATTAGCTCAAAATTTGTCTGCTTTGTGTTGTCATGATTGCAAGTTTTTTGACTTGTAAACAGCTTTTACGTCAATATCCAATGTCATAATGGGATTTTTCTGAAATTTCCTATATATCCGACTTGGCACTTAATAATACAGAAGTGCCAGAAAACCAAACAAATATTGATGCCTTACATCAGCCAAAGACCGTTGTTATATTATCAACCCACAGTATTTCAATTCTCACCCAACCAGAGTCTGTGATCATACAACTGTCTTGATGCCGTGAGCATTTGCAAGTTGTTAGCATGGGAATCTTTTCCAGCTCTACCATCCGTCCCACAGGACATGAACGCAGCCACATGCTAGCATTGTCACCGTGAGCGTGTTAGTATGCCGACATTAGCATTTTGCTCAATGCGCTGCTTCGTCAAAGTAGAGCTGTAGTCTTATTCTGCTACACGTCACAACCAGCTCACTGTTTGACAGACAGTCTCTCGCTCTCACTGACTCTCACTGATTCGACAATTCACTGAATCAAACGTGGTGCACATCACACCTGCAGTGTCTCTCTATCACTGGCTCACACGTGTACAAACCCACCAGATGCTGTAAAGGATTTCTGCTCCTCTGTGGCAGGTGATAATTCTCCAAACAGCAGAGATGGGGTTAATGAGGGGTCAAAGGGTTCAGATAAGAAACAGCGGTTTTATGGTGCCTGCTGCAACCTGCAGCGCGCTGATAGCTGTTTGAACTGGTTGACCTTTGAACTCTGCAGGGTCAAGTGATCAACAAACTGGGTCGTTTAGATAGGTCAGATTGGAACAAGTGAAGAATGTGTATGTCACAGCAATATGTCCAAGCAGCACAGATAAATTGTTCTTAATGGTTATAACCCTACTCAATTTGTTTCCAGCGCCATTAGATTGTTGTCAGCTGTCGGACTGTTTAAGTTGTGGGATAAATTTGATTCATTTGTAATTGAATTGATAACATACTGGCTATTATTCAGCTGACTGGATCATGTACTTGTATGTGTGTGTATCTCTTTACATCTATGAATGTGTACAGTATATGTACACATTATGCACAGTATTTCTATATTACATTATAACCCCAAATATGAAATTAAAGGGTTCTGTATATTCTGCTCTGCTAGCTCTTCATTTATTATTATTATACTTTTGGCATTTGATATCCTCACAAATCAACATCCTCTCTTTGTCCATCTCTCTCTCTCTCTCTCTCTCTCTCTCTCTCTCTGTCTTTCTCTTCCAGCAAAGTGTTCACCAGTGGACATGGAGCAGTGTGGGGGGACTGTGATTTACAGATAGCACCGCGTCTCCTCTGCTGGCAGGCCATCATTACGACGAGCACGAGGAGATGGGTGCTGTGGGAAAAAAGACCTTTTGGAAAATGTCAGAGAGAAACAGTCAGAGCCCCAAATTTCTTTCATTCACTATTTCCCCTGTGATGTTTCCTCCTCTAAACTCCTTAATTATCATTATCATTATTATTATTATTATTACTATTATTCTGTTTTGTATCTAAGTGCAGTGTCAGATTTCAGAGCATGTGGATTTTATTTTATTTTTTGCTTATGTGGTTTACCTGAAGATCGAATGTAACAAAAAAACACCAGCTCTGTATTTCACCCATCTCAGCAAAAACAAATACTTACAAACAAAGAACAAAACAACAACAGGGGGGAAAAAAATAACAACAACAAAAAACAAACAGCAGAGTCTGCAGCAGCTCTCCTTCTCCATGCCGTTCCACTGGAGCCAGCTTCACTGTCTTAATACTCTTAGCCCCTCAGTTGGCATGTTTTCCATGAACCCGCTGCATTTTCAGATTTGTAAAATCCGTCAAAATGCCTGTAATGAATATTTCTACAGCCTGGAATGTGTTTAATGTGCTGTTTGACCGGCCCAGTAGAACATGCTCACAGATCTGGCACAAGCACCAGATCATGATTGGACAGAGGAAAGTGAGGAAACAGGTGATTTTCACTTGAACACGAACTTCTGTTCGACTATATTTTATCAAGCAAATTGGAAATGAAATCAATATTTATAATTAGGATATGCTCTTAGATTCTAATTAACATTTTTCCTGTGCATGGGTGTACATGTCATGTATATTTCTATTTTTTATCTTCTTCTTTTTCTTCTTTTTTTTTTGCAAAAATGAAAATATTAGTACAGTTTTCTTGATGGATTAAATGTCACCTTGTGAGACAAGTCTTTGTTATGCACTCAGCAATTACATTGTACTCTCTGTCTGTCTGTTGTCTTACACAGATTTTGCTGGGAAAAAAAAAGACTACATATTAAACAAACTTAAAAATAAACTTATTGCTGCCCAAGAATGAAATATTGTCCTTTCAATCATTTTTTTTTCATATTCAATTTGAGAGATAAATTGATACTTCAAAGTGAGAAGTTAGAGAAAAGTTTTAACATTTAAACTATGTATTAATTTCAAGGCCTAAATGTGCCCTCAATTATTTTACCATTGCCCCTAAGTAATTGATTTTAGGTAGAGAAGGAGAGAGGTGGGGGGATGATCTGTGTTGATGTGTAAAAACTGCAAAGCCAACAAATGGAAAATAACTGACAACATAATTGCTATGAGTGATATAACCTTGCTTTATTGATTTTCTTTTTTTCATCAGCCTGGCTAACATCAAAGTTGAGGCCGTAATAACATAAATTGTTTCACAATTTTCTGTGATAATTTAAATTTTGTTCACTCACTCAGCCTCCCGGTCTATCATTGACTGGTTCAGGTGTGTGTAGCCGAACACAGGACGAACACTTGTGAGACTCAAGTCCAGTGGTGTGTGTGTGTGTGTGTGTGTGTGTGTGTGTGTGTGTGTGTGTGTGTGTGTGTGTGTGTGTGTGTGTGTGTGTGTGTGTGTGTGTGTGTGTGTGTGTGTTTGCGCGTGCTGAGGTGCAGACTCACCGAACAGACACAAAACGTGTACAGAGACTAGATAATGAGCATCTCAGGTGACTACATGCAGTGATTACCAGGTTGCTGGTGTTATAGGAACTATATCACATAAACATACACTCCCACTCTGTGCACACTTATTCAGACACACACACATATGCACACACACACACGCACACACGCACGCACACACTCTTGAGAGATCCTTGGTTATCACACCCTTCCAGATTGTTCTGAACTACTTATGGAAAACACACACACATCTCAAGATGTGGACACACTTGCCAATATGAGCCCAGTGTTAAGAACAGTTGTTGTCGTTGTCGTCGTGTGTTTTTTTTTAGCATCTCTAAATTCCTAGCGTTGCTAAGGTGCTTTGGGAGGGGATTAACAGAGGCTGGCGCCGATGAGCAAGCCTTGCAGATTTCCAACCAGCAGGAAAAGACAAAGAAAGAGGGGAAAGGAGGAAAAACAGCAGAGGGTTAGACAACAGGGAAATGGCAGTAACAGCTTGTGTAAACATGATGACTTGAGAGAGGTAAAGAGGTAGAAATGAATGAGCGCTGAGCAATGGAAAGTGAGACTAAATAATAAGTGTCCTAAACAGGAGGCCTCAACTTTCACACAGACAAGGTAGAGGACACACTCTCTCTCTCTCTCTCTCTCTCTCTTTCTCTTTCTCTCTGTAGTCTTTGCTTCTTTTTCCTCTGCAGCGACCAAAATGTTTTCTTTACCCCTGCCTCTCTCTCCTCTCTCTCTTTTCATGTGCTCTCTCTCTCTCTCTCTCTCTCTCTCTCTCTCCCTCTCTCCTCTCTATTTCCTCTCTCTATCTCTTTATTCCCCCCAAGGGCAACAGTTTCAAATCCAGACACTTTTGTCTCCCTTTCTCTCTGTCATAGCTTCAAACAGCGCCGGTGATCAGGTCATACTGATGTGCCCGGAGCGTGAGTGACTGTGCCGTCTCAGGTGAACATCTCCCAGCGTGTCCTTGATGACACTCTCTCCCTTTCTCCCATCTCACTGCTTTTAATTAGTGTAGTGAGTAGAGAAGGCAGCAAAGACAGCTGAGCCACATTTACCAATTATCGACCTGTTCGTAAGTACCACTGTGACGGCAATGCGATGCTTTTAATATTTCTGCAGCTGAAAAAAAGAAAAAAAACACAATTACACATGAACTGACCTTGATTTTCACTAAATCCCTGGATACATGCTCAGAGAGAAATCAGAATGTGTTTTCTAAGAGTGAAATCTCCATTAGCCAAAGAAGGTGCACCAAAGGGAGGGGAGGTCCACATGCTTTCCTTTGAATCCTCTCCTCAGGCTCAGCTTCTCAGGTAGAGTGTAACTGGATGCGATCTGTTTGTGGAATACAAGGCACTTGACCAAGGGCCAGCACTGCTCCTCCCTCGCCTCCCATCCCCTCCCTCCCCTATCCTTCCCCTACCTGGGTCAGGTTACCCCTCAGCCCCCCCCCCCCCCTCCTTTCCTTTCCTTTCCTTGAGTGGTGGCAGGTAGTGTGTTTTGCAGCCGCATCAGTGTCTGTGGATGTTGAAAAGCATGTGTCTGTATGTTTGTACTCTACCCAGACAGGTGTTTGTGACTCTGTTTTGGGCCCGGCAGCTGGGCTCCTGTAACTGTGCCCGTCTCGGCCGCGCTGGCTAATGTGACTGGGTTGGCTGAGGTGCGGAGGCGGCTGTCTTTCAACCACTGATCCCTCAGAACTACTCATCTGATCAGGCTGGATCTACGCTTCACGGCTGCCGGGGTCACACAACCCAACCCCGGGGTCAACCAGCTAATTACAGACCCCTGTGTCCTCTGTCTCTGTCACCACCGGGGATATGGGGAAGGTGGAGCGTAGAGGGAAGGAGCCTGAGAGGAAAGAAAGAGAGAGAATATTGACTTAGACATCACAAGGTCAACAGTGAGTATAACCAAAGCTCTACACTTTTCCCCCCTTCAGTTCTGTGAACAGTGGAGGAGTGTGAGGCTCTGGTTTGCAGCATCTTGGTCACACCCTTCCCAGCCCTCAGGCAGAGATAGAAGCTCAGACCCATGGGACCTGAGCAGCGTCAGTGTGTGTGTGGATTAATGTATCAGCCTCCCACTAACTTTACATTCTAGGACTGTGCCAGTTTCTGTCTGCTTTCTTGTCTTTGTTGTCAGATTTACTGTAGCACTCGGAGCAATATGTTGTTCCTATCGTGACTCCATGGTTTGCCAAACTCAAGCTTTTAATAAGCAGAGAGTCCACATGCGGCGTGTATTAATTCCCTCTAGCCTGACCTTTGGCTCTGTCCGTTGACTCAACTGGGATTTGAAGGATGCTGCACACCGGCAGCAGTCAGAGGGAGAATATACACACACACACACACACACACACACACACAAAATATGTACCAACCACCATTATATTATATTAGGCTGCGGGTTCATTAATCACAAATCCGAGGGCTTCTCAGCCAACGTAGGAAATTAATCAAAAAAGGGGACATTAATCACATGCATGAACAGCAGTAGTTACACCTGTGACAATGCCATTTGATTTAAACGTGTTACTCCAGACTGTGTTAATGATGCCACCCAGGGCCAGGCAAAGCAACCTCTCTGCGATCACTGAAACAATAATGCACTAACTATGAAGCAATTTTCTTACATGTAGTCAAGGGGTATGCCGATGCACATTGCACAGGGGTCAGTGGGTGTTGCAGCAATTACAAGGTGCAGCTTTCTCCTCACAGCTTGACCACTGGGTTTTTCAATCTGACTGTTGAAATGTCTGTTGAAATTGTATTAGTCATACTTCTTCTCTTTTTTTTCTCCAACTGTTCTGGCACTGACAAATAGATTTTTTACGTTTGAAAAAAGAAAAAAGAAAAAACAACAAGTTGGTGTCGTACAAGTACATGTGCATAGAAATTATAATATAGTTTATGTGAGAGATATGGGGAAAGCCTCAAGCAAACCCTGCAAATGTGCTTACACTGCCCTCTTTTGAATGCACTGCAGCGTGTCCTGGTGATCTGCTGCAGGACCGGAAATCATAGAAAATTGAAGCAGAGATGTAAAGTTAATATATAAAAATCTCACACGACTGAAGGTGATTTGAAACGAGACAGAAGAAAAGAACCTTTTAGAACAAATTATAATATCATAGCAAATGCAATAACAATATAACCCAGTTGAAAAGGAAGTTGTATGGCAGCAACACTGTTACATGTGCTCATACAAACACTTTTTTTGCATACTTGGAATTTTCTCTTTTTGTACCCGAATCGCAGCATCTTATGTTTTATTCCGCACAAAAAGAAACAGGCTTCAGAGGAAAGAAGTTCTTCGTTCCTTCAAATGCAGCTCAAATCTGTTGCAGGTGAAAGATGTTGAGAGCTCAAGGGCACTTACTTGTTTCTGTCCATGCACACAAAGGAACAGAATTATAACAAATGTAACATTATGAATAACTAAGCCAGGTTTTTATTAGATTATGAGTTCAGTGCAGTTATGTTCAAACTGGGTTTTTGTTGCTTTATGAACCTCCTGACGTCCTAAAGAGGCCATGCATTTAAAAATGATCATTTAAGACATTGTGTTATTCCTCCATACATTTGGAGAGCTGCTGTGTGTGTAATGGTATCAGTGATTACAATTCCAAGAACTGCACGGCAAACAAATCACTTGAATGAAAAATATAAAATAT